TCTCTGTAGCTGCAAAGGTCCGAAGAGCCGTGAAATTGCGCGGGTACCTTAATGAGAATTATCGGGCTTCACATTGCTGTTACAGTTTAGGTCGCGACCCCTGCAAACCATAGAGCTCGTGTAGGGGCGTGATTTGGAGCGCTAGGGCACCCTTTACCACCAATCAAAGCCGAGTCAAGATGGCGTCATTGGTGGAACAGGCCGCCCTGGCCGGGCTCGTACCCAAGCCCTGTCACAAGCCCTATCGTTTGAGCGTCATGGCTGTATTCTGAGGTTTCGGCGGAATCCTCATGGTGTGAAGCCCCTATTGAAAACCCGTCGTCTCTGATCTATTAGGCGAAAAAAGCGAAGTGCAAAAGATACGAACCATTTGAGAGTCATCTGAGCTGGAGGTGGATTGAGATACCAGGAATGGATATTCCCAATATCCAGACGCATCGGGTCCAGTGTGGGTGGAACTAAATCCATGAAAATATGGGCGTTACTCTTCAGCTGTGAGAAGGAGGCTCATGGAGCTCGAGCAATGTTGCTCCGAACTTAGCCCATAGATAAACGGCAAAATCTTCAACATGACCCACTCACCAAAGTATATGAATCCAACATAGGCCTTTTCATCGTTTGATAGACCTGATTGTGGTTGGAAGTAGACGGTTTTCGTTCCCCAATCGAGAATCTTCGGCAGAGTACACCGAGCTATTGACGGATTCAGAATGTCGCATTTAGCCATCTGAAAGGATCCCTGCTTAATGCGCTCACATTTCTCGAGAGTAATGCCTCGGTGATGTTTTTGTAAGATCCGCTAATGGAAGGGATTTGTGTAAGTCTTCGATGTGAAACCCCACAGAAAGGGCGTAAGTACGCATTAAAGCGATGCAAGCTCCGCCTGCCGACAGTCGATCTCCACATAACGTACCATAACAACCACAGTACGAACATTGCTTTTGTCACTTTGCCACATTGGCTCAGCGAATTAAATGAACCAATACAGGCGCTTTTCAAGGTTTGACTGTGATCGCAAGTCAGTGGTTTCACCTCCCGAATCATGAACTTTAATCCAAAAAGCGATCTCGAGCTCACACACCGACTTGTTCATTCACTGATAGCTATTCCAGGTAATTCGGTGAGGAAACCCACGCTGGTGGAAAAAGCAGAAAATGCGTCGAAAACGCTTCGATCAGACTTGTATTTTTCACATTTAGTTTGCAGCATTGTAAGTGTGCGGCGAAGAGACATCGAACGCGGAGGTGAGAGACCAGAGAAACTAGAGTCAAGGGAGTACGCAACCATACGAGCAAGGAGAGCGCAGAGTCTGTCCCAGGAAGTTTAATCAGATTTGAGTCGCAAGCCTCTTGCTTTCAA